AAAAAAAAGAGAGAGAGAGAGAGAAAAAGCCACATTTCACTACAAGAAGATTCAATGCTTTGCTTTAGATGCTCCTTGTTTGCACCGCCAACAAAATGTCCCCGTTTGTGGGTGAGGTGTGTGTATTGGGGGACACACATGCACGCACGCGCGTGCACACACACACACACACATATGGATCCATCCTGTGGCCCTTCCCGGCCTAACTGTGTCCCCCAGGAGCCCTTCGCTCTTCTGGAGTCTGCTGTGTTCGGTGTCCGGTCAAGGCGAACCCCTGTTGCCTGCTGGTCCCCCCCCCCATGGATGGAGAAACCAGCAGGTTCATGTTAAGAGTAGGAAGCGAAACCTTTTCCTCTTAGGGAACGTCCGCCCGCTTCTGGACACAGAAGGGTTGCCTCGTGAGACTCCGGCTTTGTTGCTGCTGCGAGGATGGAGGTGTCGTAGGGCTCAGGACCTCCTTTCCGTGTCTCCTTGCTCCATTCCCCCGGCCCCCCCCCCCGTCCCCAAGCTTAAGTGCTGTGTAATCATGAAAACACTGTGTTGCCATATGAGTTGTAAACAAGTAATATAAAGGAAGGCCCTGATCTCTCCGGCAGAGCTTTTTGGGACCTCCGTTCTGGCTGAAGGGACGGGTGGATTCTTTTTGTTTCCAAAGGGGGGGGGCGTGAGGAATCCGTCTGGGCCTCTGTCGTCCCCCCCCCAGGCCAAGGCCTAATCCTCCTCCACATCTGTTTTCTTCCCTCTGTTAGCCTCTCTCCCCGGCACCCTATTATATGGCTCAATATTATTAATAATTTAAATGCACACCCCATCCTCCTCCATCAGAGCCAGGGCAGCTGATAATCCATATTGGGGGGTGGGGAACAGTTAAATGTCACAACAGCCGGGAATCTGAAGTCACAGTCTATGAACATATATTTTAAAAAATCACAACTAAGACACACTGAAGCCACAGAGCACAAATGTTTGGTTGAAAACTCCCACACGTGGCCAAAGCAATAATATACTGTATATATATTTTAAAACCCCACACACCATGCAGCGGCTTCAAGCAAACAAGGCAAGGGGTGGCCTGCGGTCGTCTGGGGTGTGTGGAATTGCTCCTTGGGGTTGCCCACAGGCAGCCACCCGTGGGATTCCCACACCCCTGAAACTGCCCCCTTCTGTCGCAACTCTGGTGTTTGGTGCTTTGCCCGTGTGGAATGGCCACCCTCTCGGCTGCCCTTGCGTTCGCCAAGGGTTCCCGGGGTGTCCCAACGGGTCAGCGTCACAGAGGGACCAGGTTCTCCCCCACCTACAGCAAACGGGCTTGGGGGTCCCACCCCACCCCCCAAAGCTGCCTGTCCTCGTTCTGCATCCACCACACAGGGCCACACGTGTGGCCTTTCCCCCACGTCTCGGGGGGGGGCAATTAGAGGTTCTGTCTCCTTTGCTGAAGAGGGGGTTGCACGTTTATTTCAGAATCATTTCCTCCCCACCCGCTTCTGGCCACTGGTGCCAGAGAACCTCTTCCTTCCAGTCAGTCGTGGTAGGGCCAGGGCCACCAAAAAGCCACGAGGGGGGGGCGTGCTTCCCAGCCAAGAGGCGTCCCAAGCGGCAAGGAGGTTCCCCCCCCCCGCTCGCCTTCCTGAGGAATTCCAGGCTGGGGCTGCTCAGCTGGAATTAGAGGGGGGGTGAGTTGCCTGAAAGGTGTGAAGAGTCTCATTGTGCAGGTTCCCCCCCCACACACACACACCCTGACTGTGACCCAGGGCCCCTAGGCTTGGGGGGAGGGGGGAACGAAAACTCCGCACACCAAACACACATGCACAACAAGCAGGCCACGGGATAATGGCTGCACACCCACGCTGGCTTGTCCTTCCCAGCCCATCCTTTGCTTTTTCAGAAGGACTCCCTCTAAGGTTGCTCCTGGCATTTCCTTCTGTCCCTCAAAGAGGGTGGTGTGTGTGTGTCTCACCCTCTCTCCCCCCCCCCCCCCGTGTGTGTGTCTAAGGCTCTACTGTCGACATGCCACAAGAAAGGGCTTCCTGGGGAGATGGGGAGGAAGGCCCTGCTGGGCGGGCAGGTGGGCATCCTGAGCCCCACCTTCCGCAAAGGGGCTGCTGCTTGACCCCTTGGCCCTCCACGCCCAGTCCCAGGGCATCTTGCTTGTCTCCTGACCTTTCCCTCGTTCTGCCCCCCCCCGTGTGTGTGTGTGTGTGTGTGGGGTGACCACACAAGCCAAGGGCCAGGAGGGTTTGGCCCAAGGAGCAGGAAGCGGGGGGCCTGCTCTGATGCTCTGCCCTGGCCTTTCTGGAGCTGGCCCTTAAGTACACGGAGAGGGGGTGTGGTGGGCCTCTGTGTGTGTGTGTGTGTGTGTTCAAGCTGGCCCTTACCTACACGGAGAGGGGGTGTGGTGGGCCTCTCTCTGTGTGTGTGTGTGTGTGTGTGTGTTGTGTACACACAAGACATCTTGCATTTAAAGCCACTTGACTTGCTACAACCCCCTCTGAGACCCTGTGTGGCGGCGGATCTTATAATCTCTGATGCTTCTTTCGTTGTGCTTGGAACAGGATCATCCGAAAGCTCCCTTTTATTTTTATTGTAGAGACTGCTGCAACTTTTCTTGCTGTGTTCTTTTAGATGAGACAAACCTACTGTATTTAAAAAATCACGATATATAATATTTATCTTGGATTCCACCGCCCTTCCGTCATCTGTAGCAATGCGCAACCCCTGTGCCGTTTTATTCGTTTGTGTTTTTTTTTTTCCAACCTGAAGGTGGGCTATAAGGGATGACTGTTGGGGGGGGCGGGCGGTGGGGGGTGTGTGTGTTTTCCCGATGAAGGTGGAATTTAATATATACTGTATATTTTTTTTCTGTACGAGATGAAATGTATTATTTTTGCGCATGATGGTCGTTAATGCTGGTCGCATTGATGCCACAATATCTATGAAATGTAAAACAAGCCCAACCCCCAACCATTCTGGTAGAGAAGGATTATTGTGTTGACAATTAATAAAGTTATTAATATTCCAGCAGACTTTGTCTTTGGAGTGGAACCTACACCTTAACTGTGCCTGCAAGGGGGGGGCGGGCTGTTGGGGTGTGTGTGTGTGTGTGGGGGGAACGGGAGCCTTTGGGAGCAAAAACGGGAGCTTTGGGACTTCTTGACGAACACGTTTTTGGTGGCGCAGCGCTTGGTGCCGTGGGGACGAGCCGCCGCGTGAACAGTTCTTGCGAAATGGCGAGGCTCTCCCCGTGCAGACGACCGGACCCGTGTCAAGAGGAGGAACCCGTGTCCGCGTGGGGGCAGCTGAAACAGGAGGGCCAGCCAGGAAGGCAAGCGCCCCCGCCGGTTCACACGTGCAGCACAGGCGCAGCGAGAGGCGCACACGCGGAGGGGGGGCGGTGTGTAGATGCGGTGCTTGGGGGGCGCGGCGAGGCACACAGCCTTCCTCCTTCCCTGCAACCCCAAAAGGGAAACCGCTTTGCCCGGTTTATATTTTTCCCCCTCCTCCGCCTCCGGTGCAAAAAGCCTCCCGGCAGAGCCGTTTTTGCAAAGATCGGTCCGAACGGAACCTGTGGAACTCCCGGCTACGAGGCAAAGCGAGAGGCTGGGCGCTTTAGAGGGAGAGCGCGGGAGCTGCGCAGAGCGCATGCGTATACGGTGCCTGCGGTTCCCAAGCGGCCGGCGCAGGCGCGCCCGTGTCTGCGCTTGCGTCATCTCCTGCGGCCCTCTCGGCCACCGTCGTCGCTTGCGTCAGGGCGAGCGCAGCCATGGCGACCGGGGGACCCCGGAAGAAGCAGCGCCGCGGGGACGGTGATCCGCGGGGGGCCCTGAGCGGGGTCCCTGACGCCCTCCCGGCCTTCCTGCGCTGGTGCGCGGACGGGGGCCTGGAGCTGAGCCCCAAGATCTGTGTGAGCAGAGAAGGCACGGTGGCCGATTACGGCCTGGTGGCCAGCGAGGACCTTGAAGCCGGAGAAGTCCTTTTCACTGTCCCAAGAACTCTGCTGCTCTCGCAACACACAAGCCCCATCGCTTCCCTGCTGGAGAAAGGTACGGGAAGGGAAGGCCCTTGTGCCTGGGTCGGAGCGGAACGGCCTTAGGAGCTTCAGGCTCACTTGCTAGCCTGGTTTGCAGACCTGAAGAGCCTGCTCTCTCTCTCGCTCTCGCTCTCTCCACCGTGGTTTGCAATGCCTGTTGGTATTCCTTGGAGCTGCTGAGCAAACGCGTGCACGTGGACACACAGTGTAACCCTTGCTGGCTGAGGAGCGGAGTGGAGAGGGGAGAGGTTTGAATGCCTCAAACCTTGTTACTTTGCAGATCCTTGCATTGCCTTCTCCAAAATGCCTTTTGCTCCCGTCAGAATACGTTTTGCTTTGCCTTTTTATCGTTTTCTGGTTTTCCAGATCACGCTGAGGCAGGTGAGGCGATGGCGGGTCTGGGGGTGAGACAGCAAAAGGGCGAGGGTTAAATGTCCTCGCTTGCTGTGCTGCAGAGGAAGGAGGAGGACTTGGTTTGGGCGCCTGCTGCTACTACTAGGTGTCTCTGCATCTCCCTGAAAGAGAGAAGGTCAGCCCCGGACAGGACAGGGTGTTTCCAGGGATTTGGGGACCAGGGTCTGCCTCCAGTGTGGCAAAGTCAGGATCCATGCCAGGGGAAGTGCATGCATCTTTTAAAATAATAAGTGTGTTCATATACTGTAGAAGGAATCTCGCAGGGGGTTCGGTTCCTATGCTGCTGTGGCTGCACCTGCTCTTCCGCCATCCTCAGACCCACCCTTAGAGATCCATGCAGTTATGAATAAACTGGGGTCTCCCATGTGCTTCTTTCCCCTCCGTTGGCAGATCTGTGTGAGCAGAGAAGGCACGGTGGCCGATTACGGCCTGGTGGC